TTGCTACCCTCGACAACTATGAAGCTGAGGTGGACATTCATGAGGATTTGCAAGATGAAGATTACTGGGCTGATGAAGATCAGCTTCAACTAACCGATGTTCCTGAGAGTTTGTGGTTGGACTTTCCTTTGGACAAAGTCCCCCCACCGCCTGAGCAGTGGGTGGATAAGCTGGCTGATGGAGTTGAAATCAACCGTTTGCTTGCCATGGGTGTGTTGGAAAAGGATGATGATTCCCACCAAGAGGCTTCAGGGACACTTACAACACGGTTTGTGTATGACTGGCGAGTTAAGCAACACAGTTCTGGAAGAAAGATGTGGATGAGAAGGAGCAGATTTGTAGCTCGTGAATTTGCTGCTACAAAACGTCATGACACATATTCACCAGCTACAGGAACCCATACAGCAAACATGATCCCACTGATCTACCTCAAGATGTTGCAGGAGTGTTCAAAAGCTGGAGTAACAGACGACAGTTATGATGTGTTGTTGGCTTCCCTTGACATAAAGGACGCGTTTTTGCAAGTGCCACAGTCTGATGTGATCGAGGTTTTGCTGTATGACCAGCGGTACCTGATCAAAAGGAACCTGCCAGGACAAAGGTTGGGAGCCAAGGCATGGTACTGGCATTTCAGAAACTTTGTGAGTGATGCACTTGGTTTTACATGGTGTGTTGAACAGCCTTGCCTGGCCAAATGCGTTGATGGTGGTTGCAACAACGTTTTCATGGTACATGTTGATGACCTCTTGTTTTGTGGAAGCAAAAGTTTTTGGAAGGAAAAGTTTCTCCCTGCGATGTCAAAAGAGTTCAGCGTGAGTTGCAGTGTGATGGAAAAGACAGGTGACTGCATCTCCTTCCTCAAACGACGCATGATAAAACTTGATGATGGAATCATGGTTGTGCCAGGAACAACAGCAGAGAAAGTGGTGGCTTGCTTTGAGAAAGCGTTTGGTGTTGCAAAAGTTCAAAAGATCCCTTGCGATGCAGGAATCCAAAACGAAGATTCCACCCCAGGCCTTACAACAAAAGATGCAAGTGCTTTCAGGAGCGTAGTGGGTTTGCTTCTGTACTTGGCTCGGGACAGAACCCGATTTGATGTTCAGTGTAAAAGAAGTTGCAGCCTCCATGTCATGCCCTACTCTTTGTGCGTTGCAAAGGTTGCGGAAGCTTGTTGGATACCTCAAGGGTTCAGGTGACTTTGGAATCAAACTGATCCCGCCTGAGTTTGGGCATGGACGTTGGAAACAAGGAGCTGAATGCTTTTGGGTAGTTGAAACCTTTTCAGACGCTGATTGGGCTGCCAATAAGAGCCACAGGAGGAGCACCAGCTGCGCAGTGCACTTCATCAACAATAGCCTGGCATACGCTTCAAGTCGAACCCAGCGTGTGGTGGCACTCTCTTCTGCCGAGAGTGAATTGCATTCAATGGTGTCAGGATGCTCAGATGCCATTTTTATCAAAAGATGTTTGCAGTTCTTGGTGGCCGAGGATATTGAACATATCCACTGGGTCGACAACAGCGCGGCACGACAGTTAGTGTCGAGACAAGGGGTCGGCAAGATCCGCCATTTGAGTGGCAAGATCCTATGGATCCAAAACCTTGTGCTGCAGTCTGAGTTGGTGGTTGGACAAATTCCTACAGAATGGAATTGCAGCGACATTGGTACAAAGGCGCTCCAAAAGTCACGCCTGTTGATGCTGTTACATATGATGCGGATCATGGACCCAGAATCACATGACATGCTTGGTCAGGAGGAGTTTGAAAATGCGGCTCAGAGGTTTGATGGACAGAGAAATATGAAAAACCTGGTGAAGGCAGTTATGCGTATGGCAATGGTGATGGGCCTTGAGTCATTACCTGGAGCGGATGCAACAAATGCTTGCGCTTCGCACGAAGCACCACAAGTTTCTGGCTCCGGAACCTCTTGGCTATGGGCTTTTCTCATTTGCATGTGCTTGGTTTTTGGAGTTTTTGCATATGTGATGTTGAAAAAGATGAACAAAATTGCAAAAGACTTGGAATACTGCTGGAACCAAGTAGCTGACGAAGACCATTTTGCAGGTCAACAAAGTCGCAGGATCGATACCCTTTTTGACCAGTGCAGAAGGCTTGAGCACGTTCTGGACAACACCAAAGCGGAGTTGCAAGATGGAATCACTCAAGTTTCGAATGAGGCAAGCATGGTCCACGATTATGCAAGTGGCCTCCACTATTACATAGTTGAAAGTGGAGGATACCTTCGAAACGGCCTTGGCCTTAACAACGAGCAATGGATTCACTTGACAACGTTGGAAAGGGCAAACCTTGTAGCTTCAAGAACAATGGGAGCTGTTGAATACATGCGTTTGGTGAGACAGAGAGGTGCAGCAGTTGGACAAGCGGATCAGACAGATCCAATGGCAGAACATGAAACCTCAGAGAGTGAAATGGATGATGATATGGAAGTTGAGCCGGTTATCCCAACTACACCGGCTACACCGCAAAGTTTGACTGGAATGGTAGAATTCTTGAAAGATGAGCAGCTCAGGTGCATACAAGATGGAGAATTGTGGGATTCCAATGCAATTCAGAATCTAGCACTGGAATGTTTGGAGAAAGTTCGCGATGGTGTGACAGGAGAAACCATTGGAATGTTTCGCAACAAGATTTCTACGCTTTTCAGGGATCTCAGAAAGTCTGCAGAGGATCAAAACCGATGGCAGAGTGCAACCAGATATGACAGAATTTCACAGGACTACGCAGGATGAATTTCGAAGAAATTTCACTATGCTTTTTCTCTGGAAAATTTGTGAAAGGACTGACAAAAGCCTCAGTTCAAAACGCAATGCAGAGATGCAAAAGTTTGAGTGGAACATTGAGTAAAGACACTCAATATTCCAAGGAGGAGTGAGAAGAATTTCTGACAGAGAGCACAGTCATGGACACGGCACAAATCGAGATGAAGTGTAACAAGTTTCCATAGACTTTGGCATGTAAAACATACATGACCATTCAGGCCTATCTGGCTCAGAAAAGTGTGCGGCTGCTTTTTCGCAGTAACAAGTATGCCAGAAGAAATTTTAATTCTTGACGTGCAAAAAGCATTCAAAACACATATGCACCTGCAACCCAAGCGAATTCATGTTTTTCTCCGAGATGGTCACTCGCCAGCTACCATCAAACCGATGAGACAAAGTTTCACCTCACCTGAATTTTTGTTCCAGGACTTTGCACGTGTCTTCTTCGTAGTTCATGGAAGATCAACAGCACGCGACAGTCGTAGTTGTTGTGAATTCATTTTTTGTTTTTCTTCACTATAGCAAACCAGCCACGTTCACAAATTTCAATCACTTCTTGCACTGACACGAAAGAATAGGCAGTGCTGTTGACTTTCACATGCACAGGCACTGCAAGTTTGTAGTTGTTCTCCCAGGTGTTTTGTAAGAAAAAATCTTGGTGTTCACACCACGTGCTTTGGAACAACTGTAAATTGTAGCACCGTTACCGAAATCAAGTGCTGTGTGACCATGCGCTTGAAGGCCTTGGTTAGAATATTTTGGCCCACAGACCTAGAATCTTCACTGAAAAGAAGTGGGTCCTGTTTTTTTTGCCAAGTCATGGCACACAATTTCACACACAATGTTTTTCGCAAAGTGGTGGTGTTGAGAATGGTTCCAGCATACCCTCAGCCCACACATGCTATAGTTGCAAAACGCTATGGACATCTCTGGACGCTCTATTCAACATTCCCAAAACAAAAACAAATAAATTCTAGCAAATGGTTGGTCCACGGCCTTTAGGCGGCCGTTGTGTTTTGTTGGGGTGGGGTGGGGTGAGGTGGGGCATGAAATTCACGTTCATGTGAACTTGCACATGAAGTCAATGCTACGCTGTAGCTGTCGGGCATGTATTCAAAGCTGAGGGATGGGGCGGAGTAGGGTGGGATAATAACGGCTCTGCTACACATACGTCATGGTACGCTACTGTACGTTGTGTTGGACTTCCACGCGTACGTCACGCCATGCTACTGGACGTTGTCTTGGACTTCTACACATATGCCATGCTACGCTACTGGTTGTTGTCTTGCACTTCACACATACGTCGTGCTACGCTATGTTCCCTTGGGTTTCCACACATACCTCACGCTACGTTATTTTTATATTTTTTTGGACCTCCACACGTACGTCATGCTACCCAACTGAACCTTGTCTTGGACCTCCACACATAAGTCATGCTACGCTATGTTCTCTTAGGCCTCCACATTTGCGTTAACTTAGGTTTTGATGCTGTGAACAAAAGGCCCTGCTCCTGGTCACATGCCATCTGTCGAGTTTGTGGTGGCCAGTAAGCTCTTGACACCTTGATCCCTTCTTGTCCAAAACAACTGGGCAATGGTTTGCGTTTTTTTCTTCAAGCGGTTTCCATAATGCAAACACCAATTCTAGTATACATCAGGGCATGCATCTATGAAGTTTTTTAGCTGCGGAACCGATGCCCGCCTTGGAAACGCTGCAAATTGTCTTCCATTGCTGTGACAGACTTGCTGATGTTGTTCCAGGGCCCTGGGGCCCTTTGGTTTGTGACAAATCAAGATGTTGGCCTCAGTGAGTCTGAGATGTTGGAAGCAAGACAGTAAATTTATTATTATAAGTATTTTTATAGTTTATTAGATGCAATTGAGTAGCCATCAAATTATAATTATTATTATTAATAATGAAAAACTTTTAAAAGTGTACTTGGTTGATGAGCTCGATCTTGCTCTGGTCGCTGACTGTCTTGACGGCGGCCTCTTGCCGACTGTGTTCACGGCGGCAACCAGCCGACTGTGTTCGCGGCCGCCTCTTGTGCCGACTGTGTTCACGGCGGCCTCTTGCCGACTGTGTCGTGTTCACGGCGGCTTCCAGCCGACTGTGTTCACGGTGGCCTCTTGCCGACTGTGTTCACGGCGGCAACCTGCCGACTGTGTTCACGGCGGCCTCTTGCCGACTGTGTTCATGGCGGCAACCCGCCGACTGTGTTCATGGCGGCCTCTTGTGCCGACTGTGTTCACGGCGGCCTCTTGCCGACTGTGTTCACGGCGGCCTCTTGCCGACTGTGTTCGCGGCGGCCTCTTGTGCCGACTGTGTTCACGGCGGCCTCTTGCCGACTATGTTCACGGCGGCAACCTGCCGACTGTGTTCACGGCGGCCTCTTGCCGACTGTGTTCACGGCGGCCTCTTGCCGACTGTGTCGTGTTCACGGCGGCTTCCAGCCGACTGTGTTCACGGCGGCCTCTTGCTCTTGCCGACTGTGTTCACGGCGGCTGCCAGCCGACTGTGTTCACGGCGGCCTCTTGCCGACTGTTCACGGCGGCAAGCGGCCGATTGTGTTCACGGCGGCAGGGCGCTCCATTGACGCCGTCGTCGACAAGTTCCTCGCATTAACGCGGCGACTCTCTGTGTTATGGTGTTGAAAAATAGAGCGTTGCTTACCGCTGTTGCTGTGTAGGAGTTGGCTGAATGTCTCAGTGTTCACTTTGATGACGGAATGGTTTGTCTTCGTCGTCTTAAGGGCTCCAAGCAGTTTAAGGGCGTCTTTTTTCGAAGCCATGGCTGCAAGCACCTTGGCAGCTTCTTCGACCATGCAGTCGGCATACTTGTACAAGTACAAGGACGTGCGGGCCAACCGTCCTCATGAATGGTTGCTTTTGCTGACCTCAGGTGAGATAGCTTTCATCCGCCAGACCCGAGGTCGACGCATGGCATTTGGTGGCGGAGGTCGGTGGGAAGTCTGTGTCAATGGCTCCCTGATGCATTTGCGCGACTTTGCTTGTGTGGGCAAGGGTGCCAAAAGACGTCAGTTGACATTTGACCAAGTGAATTCCCAATCTGGTTTTTTCCGCTTTGAGTGCCTCCCGCGCTTTCGTGATGATGGCCGGCCTCGGGACGTGTTATTCTTGGGCATAGTCCAATGGAATGCCACACAGGTGACTTGCTCCTGGCACGAATCGATCACGGACAGATTTCGCCCATGGCAGCGCGATTATGTCTTCCAGCTCTTCGAAGACGAGGTGGCGCCCTTGCTGCGGAGCCATTTTCCTGTCGACCTGTCAGCGGATGCGGGCGCCTTGGACTCCGATGACTCATGGCAGTTGGTCTGAGTTTGGAATGCTACAACCATTTTTTCAAATGGTTGCGGAATGTGGGGTCAACACGGCCTCTGACTGAACTTGACATCGCGATCATGGCGCGAGAAAAATGGTCGGGGGGCATGTTTGGATAACCACGTCTAGAGGTGGTGCGGCTTGTGTGGTGTTTTGAACAGTCAGGATGTTGGAAGTCATGTCATTGGCATGTGAACCCTGTAGCCCGGCTCAAGAAAATATGGATGAGTTTTTGAAAGGCACAGAAGCCTTTTCCTTCGAAGCGTTGGTAGACGCCGCGTTCAACGATGGTGAAGCTGCATCGTCCAGACCTGCAAAGCTAAAGCAAAAGTCGACGAAAAAAAAAAAACAAGGAGAAAGTCGAGGAACAAAGCAAGGCAGTGAAAGACGAAGACTTTGCCGACGAGGAACTGACTCCTGCGCAAGCTGATCCATATCTCTGTGAAGCAGCTTTAGAAGTTGAAGGAAACGAGGAGGTCAAGATGTCCAAGCGAGCGCTGCACCGAGCTTTGTACGGCTTCAACCGTAGAAGTGGAGGCAAGAAGCATAAACCCAAGGCCAAGGCGAAGAGCATTGGCAAACGTCCAGTCGCCGGAGCTGTGGGGGGAAAAAAAATACGCTGCTCTTCGTCGTCGTCCACAGTTGCTTGTTGCTGTTCTTGCTGTGTACTGCTCAGTCAGGCAAATGCTTCCTGAAATTTAAGCCGTTCACTTTGCAGGAATGTTTCTTCTCAAGTCCTGGTTGTGTAGAACTGGCCCTGCTGCGAAAAGTTGCCCTGCCATGTCGTCTCCGGAGCGCCGCAACGATGGCCGGAAGACTAAGAGGTCGCAGCGACCGCCAGAGCCTGAGAACCCACCTGGGCTGAGTCCTGCAGGCCCCAAGGCTTCAACATTGGCTGGCCCCGCTCCAGTAGCCCCGATTCGTCGTGGTACAGAAGAGCCCGCCGAAGACCGCCACCGAGGAAGGAGCCGCAGCAGAGCCCGAAGAAGACGACACAAGAAAGCGAAGCCAGCAGAAAGGCCGGCACCCAAGAAGCCGCCTACGTCGTCGCCGGACTCCAGCAGCAAGGAAGAGGTGGAGGACGAGCCAAGCGGACCAGCTGCAGCTTCCAGCTCCTTATGCACTGACACGTGCACAGCAAGCGCTGAGGACGTCCGCCCGCATTGCACGGGAGGCGGCGGTGTCCTTTGAGTCCGAATTGGACAATGTTACTGCGGCGCAGAAGGAAATCGAGAAGGCCTTCGGCAAGGCAGAGTGAGGGCCGGCCTGCTGACTTCGCAAGACCAGGCTGTGAGGATGAAAAAAAAATGTTTTCTTTCTGCTGTCAAGTTGCAGGCTTGTGTTATTTGACTGCTGGCTGTGCTACTTAAACCCAGGGATGAGTTATCCAAGTACGCCACAAACACCCAAAACATGATTCTTAGTTTCGCGCCAAATTTGCAAGGTCGCTGCAAGAACTGCCCCAATGACTGGGGCGCTAAAGCTGTTGCCGCAGCAATCTCTCAACAAGTTAGGACTGAGCATTGTCAATCCAAATCTGATTTGATCTTCTTTGGCCAGGCCCTGCAAGGTACAGAAGTCTGAAGCCGTTAGCACACAGCCGCGAAATATGTGTCTTGGTTCAACTAAGTTCATTTTACTAGTTCTTCGGAAGCCCTGTTGGGCAGTTTAACCGGCCATTCAAATTAATTAGCTCTGATGGTGTTCTTCTTTCCTAGGAAATTTATAAAGCCAATCTTTGTTGAGACACCCTACGTGGCAGATTGCACCTCAGCCAAATATAGTTATATGAGATATTTTAGGGGGATACGTTTTGAGATCGCATATAACATTTTCTCAACCACATGGGTTTGTAAATCTAGTTCTGGGATTTCCTGGGATGTTGCGCAAGGCTTATGACTTACATTTTTCTATCTAAACTGGATAACCTACCTGGCGCATTATATCTTATCCCAACTGGTTCATGGGACTTTTGTATGGGATACCTTGTGTCGCATATGTGCATTTCCTTACCTAAAAGGCTTCGTAACTGTAGCTGTACTGCGGGGACATGTGCAATTATGGGAGTTATGGCGCCTCACTTTCCAATTGGGTTCTGAGAAATGTGACACAATTGTGTCTTGTAAGTGTGGGGCATAAAGCATACAACAGCTTCGTGAAGCAGGAGCCGAGTTATCGGCAAGGGGCAATGGACATGTTCACTTGCCACACCAGGTTGCAGCGAAGGAGGCCGATCGGCTCCCCATAATGCTGCTCGCGAAGTTGCCAATGGGCCGCAAGCAAATACTGTTCCCCTGAGCGCAGCGGCTTGCGTTGGACAATGCGCCCACAAAATTGATTGATTTTTGGGTCCCATTGGTGACACCACATCCTCTGTGTTCATGGACGCAATCTCGAGGCCCTTGTCGCTGACAGCTTTAACTAAATGAGGAGAAAAAGAAAAAAAGTAACACGGGCGCTCGAGGCCCCAGACAAAATCAACATTTTTCTAGGGTACCTCGAATTGGTTTGACGTCTGTAGCTAGGTTTTCTTGGGTCCCTAATTTATACAACATTCAAATTCTAGTAGAAAAACACAGGCCCCAACCTGACCCGGTGAACTATATATATATTTGTATTTATATTCAAAAACATACATATGTGTGTATGCATATATATATATATAACTTATATATGCGGTACAAACTTTTTTTGGCACGTTAGGCCGGAGAAACATGGGTTGCAGGCACTGGCTCATCTTTATGCCGGGCAACGTGCCATGTAAAGGGCCATAGGAACAAAATGGATGCACATATGGTTCAAACAAATGGTTACCCAAACGTCTACGCCAGGCAAAGTTTCAGCCAGACATGAGGATTATCAGGCACAGGCTACTGTTGGCACCTGGCAAAACAGAATAGACGCAAATTCATCTAAACCCATCAAATACTGGTACATGTGAGTGCTCCACCACTGTTTCACGTCTTTGTGTTTTCTTGTGGGCATTTTGCTCACAGAAACATGGCTTGTAGGCACTGGCTTTTGTCTGTGCCTGGTAACGTGCCATATGCAGGGACATGGACCCCAAAATGGATGCGCATCTGGTTTAAATAAACGATTGCCTCAAACATCTAAAGAAGGGAATTTCACAGAGAAATGAAGCTTATCAGGCACAGGCTCATGTTTGTGCCTGGCACGGTGCCATATACAGAATAGACGCAGATACATTTGATCCCCATCAAATATGACGAGCATACCGTGATAAAACGTGCCAATTAGGTGCATGTCTTCAACCGCTTGTTTTGGTATTTATTTATATCTATCATTAAATAAATAAATAAATAAATATGTATATATATATATTTAAATTAATGTATACATATATATATATACTGATACTGATATTACTTGTATATGCGGTACATTTTTTTTTTGGCACTTAGGCCGGAGAAACATGGGTTGCAGGCACTTGTTTTTTTTTCTGGGCAACGTGCCATGTACAGGGCCATAGGATAAAAATGGATGCACATATGGTTTAAAGAAATGGTTACCCAAACGTCTACGCAAGGAAATTTCAGCCAGACATGAGGATTATCAGGCACAGGCTAATATTTGTACCTGGCAAAGAGCCATATACAGAATAGAAGGAAATTCATCTAAACTCATCAGATACCGGTGCATGTGAGTGCTCCACCACTGTTTGCGGTCTATTTTTTGGGTGGCATTTTGTTCACAGAAAACATGGCTGCTGATGTTTGTGCATGGCAACGTGCCATATGCAGGGACACAGGGACCCCAAAATGGATGCACATGTGGTTAAAATGAATGGCTCCCCAAACGTCTAAACAAGGACATTTTTCACGAAGACAAGAGGGTTATCAGGCACAGGCTAATGTTTGTACCTGGCAAAGAGCCATATACAGAATAGAAGGAAATTCATCTAAGCCCATCAAATACCGGTGCATGTGAGTGCTCCACCGCTGTTTGTGGTCGTTTTGTTTGGGTGGTATTTTGCTCACAGAAACATGGCCTGTAGGCACTAAGCTTATGATATGTTTGTGACTGGCAACATTCTCTATTCTCTGTATCAGGGCATGGGGCAATTGATTTCTTGCTAGGTTTTGTTGGGGAAAACCGGAGATGAAGCATATTTGTCCAGCGGGTACAAACCAGACATATAATCCGCATACATTTTGCTGGCTGTACTCCCCAATAATAGTGTTAAAAAAACAAACAAGCCCGTTGATCGTTTTTTCCCGAGAGCGCCTGCGAAGCGTTCTTCGTAAAAAAGCAGCCGTTATACAACATCTTCACACCTTCACATCTGCTGATCTACATCTTCACACCTTCACATCTGCTGATCTACATCTTCACACCTTCACATCTGCTGATCTACATCTTCACACCTTCACACCTGCAGATCTAGATCTTCACACCTTCACACCTGCAGATCTAGATCTTCACACCTTCGCACCTGCAGATCTAGATCTTCACACCTTCGCACCTGCAGATCTACATCTTCACACTCTCACATCTGCCGATCTACATCTTCACACCTTCACATCTGCTGATCTACATCTTCACACCTTCACACCTGCAGATCTAGATCTTCAGACCTTCACACCTGCAGATCTAGATCTCCACACCTTCACACCTGCAGATCTAGATCTTCACACCCTCACATCTGCAGATCTAGATCTTCACACCCTCACATCTGCAGATCTAGATCTTCACACCCTCACATCTGCTGATCTACATCTTCACACCTTCACACCTGCAGATTCTAGATCTTCACACCTTCACACCTGCAGATCTAGATCTTCACACCTTCACACCTGCAGATCTAGATCTTCACACCCTCACATCTGCAGATCTACATCATCACACCTTCACACCTGCAGATCTACATCATCACACCTTCACACCTGCAGATCTAGATCTTCACACCCTCACACCTGCAGATCTAGATCTTCACACCTTCACATCTGCAGATCTCCTCTCGCTCTTCTTCTATTCTC